TAGGCGTGAGATATCTTCATCGACATTGTTCTGCGGCCTTCTGGGAAGCGCAAACCCATCGATCGATCTGTACTACCCTTCTGAAAAAAGGGAATAGCAATTTATGCAGGTATCTTTGTCACTCTTCGGGGGAGTTTGCCCAAGGATTACCCTCCAATCTCCACTTGAGTTCCAGATCCCGGCCCAGACTCACCCTCGCATTTGCTTTCGGTTCAATGCCTTTGATCTTTCCCTTCCGTCCTTATTTCTTCTCTTTTATTTTTTTTTTTTGATGTTTCGTGTTCGTAAATATTTCATAAGTATTTAATTGTATATTTCAGAACTCGGTGTGTTTTTGATTTGTGTGTTGGGGGGGGGGCCTTTGCTATCTGAACTCCCTCCGCCACTTGAAAATATCAAATAACAAATATTGACCGCGAGTGTGACAATGATTTATTTGCCTTACACCTACCGCGCTCGAGATCTTATCAAACAGATAACGATCTGAAAATTATAATATTTGACTTACGGTCTGAAAGTCAATAGGCACGGTTATCTGGCCGAGGTTGGGGTGTTGATTAAATATTTAAGTTACCTACGGTGTTGGTTTCGAAAGGGAAGAAGATCGCTTGTTGTCCTAAAAAACGTTGTTTTTTAGAGAAGATTTTTGTGCAAACTTAAGATAAGCTTTGCCTGTAATTATCTTAACTTATAAAGTCTGTAAGCCATGATAAGCCTTTCCAAAACTATCGATTGTTACTAGAAAACATCGATTGCAGCTTCGATAGATCAACGTAGTTACCCTCTTTGATATCATCTTGATATCATTTTTACATGAAAAATTATAAACAAAAAAACTAAAAAACCATGAAATTTTCTTATTTACCTTAACAATTAAGATGCCCCCACTTATTGTCAATTTCAAAGGCTACTGGTTTTTGTTTTTACTTGAAGATCTGTTCTCCTCTTGCTTTTGGCCATGTCAATTTGATAAATGTTTGCCCCTTGTCTGTGTGTGGATGCCACAAATATTTGTGTTTGTGTTTGTTTTTCGTGAGCAGTTGTGAAAAAAGTGAATCGGACATGGGATCGCCGGACATCTCCCGGCATGACTAAACAAATTTATTGCCCACTGGCACAGCCGAAGACTTCTTCAAAATGCCGCCAATGTTGCTCAACTTCCTGTGCAAAGTGTATATGCGTGTGTGTGTGTGTTGTTTGCCTTACAATTGGCACAGCAAACGGGATAATGGGGGGGTGGATAGAGAGAGAGAGGAAAGTGGTGAGACAAGCGATTTCATTCATGAATTCATATGTATCTTATAGATACAACGAACGTCGGCGCGAGTACATGGCCTGCATCGATAGTGCGGCATTGCCATAAATGAGATTTCAGCTTGTGTGATTTTCAGTCGCCGGACTTAGGGCAAATAATAAATAAAAATCGAGGGGACAGGCTAGATCGTTTGGATAAATGAAAGCTAGGGGATACTCTGAGTTAAAACTATGAAAGATACAAACATTGAATGATTTGTGGTGAACACATGCAACCACATCTCTGTAAGTAAAAATAGAAGAAAGTGTTTTCTTCGTAAATTCCTTTGATTTAGGGGGGAGTTCTATAAACATTCCAGAGATTGCCTTTCTTAAGCACTATCTGATATGAGTGGTTTACCCTATGTTTGAATCTAAAGATATTTCTTTAACTAAATCAAAAGGTATAATTAAGTTTAGGCTTTAAACTACTGAACTTCTTCACCGCGTTGGGCGCCAAATATGTTTTCTTACAGCATAAGCAGCAAATCTTATAAGTACCACTACCTCTTCCTTCTAAAATCTTCTTATAATTTGATCTACCAAACCTACGAAACCCCATCACATATTCACTATACCCTCTAGTAGATCATTTTTGTTGACTAAGTAATTCCCAGCTTCATTTAGCATTCATATCATGAATGGAAACGTCATTCTCGTGGAAGACAACGCAGACCTCCCAGCAGCAGAATAAAAAAAATGAAATTTTTTTCCAGAGAAGTAAATAAACAAAAGTAATAATAATAATCGCTTTGGTTAATTTGCATAGTGGCCAAAAAGAGCAAAGTAAACGCACTGCGATCGCTCGCCAGCTTCGTTAGACGATTTTAATGTCTTAATATATTTCGTTAAATTGAGTCATTAAAATAAATCGCCATCGACGATGATGATGACGACGTCGACGACGACGACGACGACCACAAAAGACGCTGACGATGTCGGCGCCATCACGATCGATCGTTTGCCACAACTTTCCAGAGGAGTTCAGGATGGGGCAGAGTCAAAAGCACGTTACAACCGAGCCCCGAGAGACTTTACGAGAAATAATTGAGATGCACACACAAACACACACACACTCGTACGGAGAGGGCAAAAACAAGAGGAAAGCCAAGTTGAAAAGGGGGCAAGGTGGGGAAGAAAAAAGGGGAACAACAACAGAGCAAGACACGCCACGCGGTCGCCAAGGAACTGCATCTGCAACTGCAACAATGATGAAGACATCAAGCTGTAAAAAGCATCGGAGAACCACCGAGAAAACTCGCTGGCGGTCCACACAGAAAAATAGTGATTATGTGGAATAGTTTAACTAATCGATTAGGAAAAACTTTCTAACAATTTTTCAATTGATATTGGAAAAGATGAACAGAAAATGTTTAAGATCTGTTCCCTAATTTCTAACATACATTTTCCTTAATTCAAAAGTTAATCTTAGTTTCGGAAACTAACAGATTCAAACTTTATAGTTTTCTTTAATAAACTTTTTGTTACTTGATTAGTATTTTCCAGTGTAGTGGCAAACAGTTTGGCAGCCACTGCATGAGCAGCGGCAACAAATACAAAACGCGTGCGTCAGTGAAATTTTTCCCTTGCCTCGAATCTTTTTTCTCCGCTTTTTTTTTTTGTTTTTTGGGCCACCCGCATTCGATGGCCCGAACCAAACCCCAAAAACGATCTCTGGCTGCTTCATTTGCATCGGTGGCAATAACAACAGCAAACAGAAATGCTTTTGGCAACGACAATGGGCATAATGAATGTTTACTGTTCTTTTTGAGTTAGAAATTTGTTTGAATAACGACAGTTTGATACCCTAAAGGGAAGCCTATAAGGTTTGATAGTATTATCATTGATTTGGTTAAAGAAATTTGTAGTAAATTTTTTACATTTTTCCTATTTAAATTCTTCAATTTGATTTTGTTGTACAAATATTTTCATAAACAATTAGCTTAGTTAAAGAATTTAAGTATTTGGGATATAAATTGATTATTTAATTACTTTATTATCAACCCGGTTTGGGTCATAAACACAGTTGCAAAAAGATACTTGATTCAAGTTCAAGTTTAAGATTCTAAGCAGTGGAAGCAGTCCCCTGATTAAAAACATTATAAAAGAAATAATGATCATATCAAAATTATCAAGTTTTAAGAATTAATTTAGTAATTAAAAATCTTTTGAAATATTCATTAAAAACAATGAAAAAAGTCACAAAAAAATGACTTTAGTAGCAAGATCAGCTATCATTATAAATTGAGTTTTTAAAATCAAAATTATCCCATTTGATAATGTCAAACTTTCAAGACGATAAACAAATTATATTTAAAATTATGTAGACATCAGTTATTACGTCATGCATGCTTCTTCTTCTAATCAATCTGCGTAGAATTACCAACCTATCAAGCTCCACATAATCATATCAAAGAGCATCTGAGAAAAGTTGAGTAGGGCGGTTGGAATTGGGAGGGAAGCTTGCAGTGGGAGTGGGAGTGGAAGGCCGGGGCAATGGCAGACCAGCCAGCAGCAGCACGTACGAATTGACTCTCGCGGAGACCTCGGCGCCCACCCATGTTGGACTTGGACAGGCACACGGATACGGACTACAGAGCAACACTAACAACATCGCTCGTTGCATGTTGTTGTTTATTATTTTTTTGCTGTGGCTGCTAAAGCTTTTTGCCTTTTGCCTTTTCGGCTGCTTTCCACTACTGGAACTCCTGCTGCTGTTGTTGCATTTATTTTTCCTTTTCTTATTTTCAGCCCAGTATTTTGTGGCTTGCTGTTTTTGGCGCTCGCTGCAGTTTGCAGTTTGCAGTTGTTATTGTTTTTGTGCTTTTTGCGGTCAGGCCGACTCCGCACAGTAGCGCCAAAGTAATGAAGTTGTCTGTGGATATGTCCGTCTGGCCTGGTCTGGGATCGAATCGGTTCGGATCGTTGGTTCTCGATCGTTGGAGATCCTGCTGTGTGTGTGTGTGTCTGCGTTTTGAGCAGAACGAAAATAGTTGTAGATTGATGGCGGTGAACAGAGGAAAATGGCCAACAAAATTGGTAAGACAACTTGAAAGTTTTTCAATGGGAAGTTTAACATATTACAGTTAAAAGTCCTTCGGAATGTTTATAAAACTCAAATTTAAGTTCATCTTTAGTTAAGTTAGTTTCACTACCAATAATTTCCAAAACAAATACCTATAAATAGAGTTAAATCCTCCACGCTTTATACTTATCAAGAATGAAATAACAAAATTAGCATATAAGCCGATTGGCCATATAATGGGCATAGATTTTAGCTAATCACTGTAATTAATAGTCTGCCCGGCTAACCAAAAGCGAAACAACTCTATTAACCAGAGAATTGAAAAAAAAGGAAAACAAAACGAAATGAAATCGAAACGACTGCTGGTAAAGAAGACATCGAATCGGTCGATGAAAAAACGCGAAAAATATTGCGAGAGATATTGGCAATAAAATTTATTGAAATCTGTCCCGGCGACTTAATGGCCACATTAAACAAAGGCCGCTGCGCTTTGTCTCTACAGGCGAACTTCTATAAGTGGATAGTAGTTTTATAGGGTTTTTGGTAGTGTTGGATACTCAAAGGTTGGATTAAAAACTATAGATTTATTAAGTTTTTTAAGTCCTAGCCAAGTCGAAGTAAAAAATGAAACATTCATTTAAGATTCTTTTTAGGCAGCTTCCACTGTAACTATAGCACTCACCTTATCTATCTGATCGAGCGCCACTTGGGCGTCCACCCAGCTGGTGCGTATGTAAAGATCCGAGAATAATTTCTCATCGACCACATCGCCGTGTGTGTCCGGAACGCGTGGGAGGCTGTCGCGGTCCATTATGGTTATGTTTATAGCCGTATTCCGGACGGAATAGTTGCTGGAGTGGCGGGGAAGGTGTGGGGGTGTTGGTGAAGGAAATGTGCAGATGGAATCGAATCGGTTCTTTCGGACAGTGCCTGCCGTTTGTCTGCGTCCGGGAACTGAGACTTGGGAGGCAGTGTGCGGTTAGTTCGTGGGCTTTCGGTTCGATTAATTGTTATTGGGATCTCGTATTTTGTTTGGCTGCATTTTGCACTGCACTCTGCATTTTTTACTGGATATTATTTTTATTTTTATTTTTGATTAAGAAGAGACGCTCTCTCACTTCGCTCGTGCTCTCTCTCTTTCTCGCTCACGCTGTGTATCTGAGCTCTCTTTGTGTTGTTTGGTTTTGTTGTGATTGCTGGCTTCGCTTTTGCTTTTGGTTTTGTTTTTGTAATAATATTTTTTTCAACGATTTAAACGCGGTTTTCGGATTTTATCTTGGACACAATTTCTTTTGGAATTCGTTAGAATTTTCACACATCATTTGCTTTACACATGGAAAAGAAAAGCGACTGGCGGACAGGCCTCACGTTTTCCGTTTTCTCTCTCGCCTTTCGCTCTTTTACCTTTACTTTACTTTACACTTGGCGACGCACACACACACTGAAACACTGGATGGCTGGCATTTGTTGTTGTTGCCTGGCATTTAATCCATGAACTTAGCCTTGTATCCGTAAGATACAATATCTTGGCTTTTCCACGAGTTCTGTGCTATTTATCTCTATCTTGTATATATACCACACACAGAGATTAGGGCCAGTGCAGTCGAAAATATTGAAAAATGTATTATGTCGCCGCGCTCCGCATTTAACAACCGTTTCGTTCGAGGATCGCACGCAGTCTGAGAGATGTATCTGTATCTCGTGGATGCGGCACGCCACTCGGGCCAACAACTTCATTAGGCGAGCGCGCGCCACTTGCTCTCTCTCCCTCTCTCTGTCGCTCTCGCTCGTATATGTGCCATGTTGTGCGCCTGTGTGTGTGGGCGACCCATTCACAGACAGTGTTCTCGCGACTCTCTCTTACTCTCCCTCTCTCTTTGGCTGTGTGCGGCCATTTTGGTTTGAGAGAACTCTCTGCGAGGGCCGATCAAACGGTAGTTCTGTACCGAAAATACCGAGGGGTGTTCAATGAGTTTTGCGAAAATATACCAAATTTGTTTAAATTTTAGAGGAATTATAAGTTTTCTATTTGTATGATTGTATGTATGTATTTATTTCCATATTATGAAATTAGACTTATATTTATTCATTTTAACTCTAACAAATTTATTATATTGGAGATATTATTTATTTATATATATTTTTTTTTAACTCTATTTTACCCCTTAAAACTTCTTTTTCGATTTAGAAATTTTCAACTAGTTGAAACTTAGTGTTCTAATGCAGTTATAATTATATTATACATACATATGTTTTATTAAGCCCATAACAACTTCTCAGCCACTTGTTAATAAGTTATTGCACATTATTTTTTCGTATTCAACCCCCTTTAATATTCACTGCAAAGCTTGCTAATTTCTATTGTTGTTATTCGCCTGCCTTATTTTTATTATTCGCAAGACCACCCAAAGTGCTTCTGGCTGCTGTTTTTTTGTAGTTGTTGTTTCCACGGTGGTTTATTTTCATTGCAGTGTGGACCACCCAAAAATAAATTTGTTGCTGCCTTCATTAAACTGAAAACGCGAAGCGTAGTGGGTGGTCCGCCATACCGTACCCCCACAGCCCCACCCCTTTTAGCTCGGTCGACGTCGGCCTTCAGCGTCGGCTGTGCTGTTCGGTGAAGCTTTCATCTATGTGTGTGTGTTTGTTTGTTTTTGTGGGGAGCGCGTGCGTGGCAGGCTGATCCTGTATGTGTATATGTGTTCGTGCCGCGAACTGTTGGCAAATTTGTTAGCTTTACATTACTTGTGTTGTTGGTTTTGTTGATGTTTTTGTTGTTGCTCATGCGATGATGTCTGTTTTTGCATGTTCCCGATGCTAAATTATGAGCGGCAGGATGTTTTGCTTTTCCCTTGCCTTTGTTTTTGCAGCATCTTCGCTGCATGAATCTAAAATATTCAAGAAGTTTTACATATGTATGTGCATGCCTGTGTGTACGTGGACCACCCAAGTTGAGATGTTTTGCCGGCAAATTATATCAAAAAAAAATTGTATGTTTATTAGACAAAGTCCTAAAAAATTAAAAATACACTAAAAATAATTTCATATTTTCATTGAATTGAGTTCAAAATTAGGATTAGATTAAAAAACTTAAATAAATAATAAATAAAGACAATAAAAAACGAATTTTAATTCTAAACAAATTTTAATTCAATATCACACTTTATGAATGAAAATGCATTTGGTGCTTGAGTTTCCCCCATCTCTGATTTTCCCCCACCAACCAAGGCAACAACAACAAAATAAACAAACAAAAAACTCTTCAGAACGACCGCAAAAATTGGCGCTCGAATTTTCAACTCGAAATTCAAATTCGAATGCATCTGCAGCGTCACGGTGTGCCCCTCTCCTTCTTTCGCTTTGGGGAAGAAAGAGATAAAGAGGGAGATGTGGATGTGAATGTGGACCCACCACCGAGCGGGCTATTATAATCAAAAAAACAACAACTCTCTCTAACTCGCTCACCTGAACTAACGTTGCATTCTTATCCATGTGTCTGTGTTCTCTCATCAAGCTCATTCTCTCTCCAACTCTTTCTACATATCTCTCTCAGTCTGCGTGTGGCGCATTTTGGCGACATGGGCGGCATTTTTTTCTCCAACATGCATATTTTAGCTTTATTACGCTCTCCCGATCTCCCAAGATTGCGCCATCTTTGCCCTGCCTCTCGAGTTTTTGCTCTCAATGACTTGCAGTTTGTTTTGCTTTCGCTCAATTCGCCTGCAGCTCCAATTCCCCAAAGGAGAGATAAAGAGAGGTAGAGAGCGACAGAGAAAGAGAGAGATACTCACACAAACAGAAGTTGCGCCTGTGTGGCGGCAGCTGCCAATGGACCACCAACGAAGCACAGTTCGCTTTGAGAGCTTCATTTGCCGTTTCTTTTGGAGTTGGCGGATGACGATGGGAAGAGCCGGAGAGGCAAAGAGAAAGATGAGGAAAAACAAAGGGGGAGAGACGGAAATGCTGTAGTTGTTGCTTTTATGGCTGGAGTTGAAGTTTGGATCTCTTCTTTGCTCGCCTGGAAGCAAAAGCAGCTTTTTATTGGGTTAGATACATAATCGAATATCATTCACTTTTATAAAAAGTTCAAGATATACCTTAAAGTGTAAGTGACCTTGTAACCTTGTGAAAATTAGCCTTTAGAAATTCTAGCATCATAAATAATATATTTAAAATCAGTAAAGACTTTGATTACTAAACTCACCCTCTATTTGAATTAAAACATGAATGATAGAATAATTTGGGGTTGCCCAATATCCCGTTGCTTAAGCTGGATTCTAACCCTGATCTCCTCGCTCCACTCTCACCCTTCTCTTTCGCTCCTTCGGCGACTTTAACGACAGGCTGTTTGTTTTTAATCGTATAATGTCTTAATTTATAGTGCAGCATTGCCTAGACCTCAACTTGATACACAATCCCCAACGTCCCGCTAGCCGATCTCCATGGCAATGCAATTGCATTTGTCATTGGCCTATAGCGCCATTAACATTACCCGGTTGGTTGTTTTCCTGTGGTTCCCCCTTTTAGCCCCTACCACACAGCCCATTCACAAAGTCTACTTGGAAAAATGATGATAATCTTGAACATTTTATTATACAATCAATAGTTACGATTATTTGTATATTTGATGTGCCTCTGATATTAATTATGAAACCAAAATTTAAAAATTAATATCATAAATATATAATATTAGCTAATTATCTATAAGAACTAATATTAGTAGATTAGTATTTAATATTATAAAATGGTCATGGCTACAAATTACCCTAATGAATTCTTAATAAGTTATTAAGAAGTACAAAACCCTAATAAGTACCCCCAATTACTTTCGGTGTAGTTCTTGCACCGCCACTTAAAGTTTAACTGCATTTGCAGTCGCCGAGTGCAAGCAATTTTTATGGCTAAATGTTGACGTCGCTGCTGCATTATTGCGGTGCATTTAATGTAATAATTACTATTTGCCACCGGTAATACGTAGGCCGGCGATTCCGAATCCCCAGCGACATGGCGTGTGTGGTTCGCTTGACTCCTTTCTGCTGCCCCCTTTTGATGCCTGCGGTTTGGGCTTGGGTTTGGGTTAACTCGTTATCTTGGCGTCGGCTTTTGCGGTTGGCTCTGCGATCTGGGGGACCAGATCGGACCGGACTGACTCTCGGTCTCTGGGACTTGGCTCGGATCGGTTCGGTTCGTTTGTTCATGTAATCAACCGCCCCGTCCAACGGCAACCGGCAACTGGCAACCGACATCACCAACTGAGGAACTGGGGAACTGAGCAGTCTGCCCCCGCCCCCTCAACGACGGTGTGTGTGGCTTTTCCAGCTTCTTGTGTGGTCCTGTCAGGCTTTCAGCTCTGCTTCTCACAATGCACTTGGCGAAAATATTTGACAAAACTTGCCAAAAGTTGTAGTATATCTTTTTCAGGGTTTAATATAATGCCGTAGGGGGGTTAATTTGCAAAGATATATTTTTAGAGATATATTTCTTAGAGTGTACCCTTAGAGTGTCCTAACCATCCTCGATCTGTGACTGTTTCGGTTGTGGTTTTGTTTTCGATGGGTTTGGTTCTGTTTTTTATTTTGCGGTGCGGTCCGGATCGATGGGTTTTCGGTTATCATTCGGCGAACCCACGCGTGGCGACATTTCCTACAGAAGTTTATTTAAGCTGGAATGGAAAGTGCCTTGTGGGTGGCTTTTCAGTTTTTGAAGGGGTAATTTAGTAGACTGACAAAATAATTGGTAGTCAGAAGATACAAAAGTCCGTTGATAAATATCTACCAACTTTATCTATACTAACACTTAATCTTAACCTTTATGTTATAAGATAATGCAAATATAATTCCGGGTTAAGCCCTTTATTGCGGAAATTTCCTGGAGACCTCAAATTAAGATGAACAAACTGACATTGTTATGTTCTCTTCGATTCCGATCTCTTCACGACGATGCCGTCTGCAAATCTTGAAGCAACCCATTAATTCCCTCGTAATCCCCGCTCCGCCGACATCAGTTAAGCTCATCGCATAACCCTTTTTGAAGTCGGATGTGTTAATGTGACTGCAACGACGATAACGACAATGAGAGAGGTATATATGTATAAGAACGAGTATATGTGGTAAGGCCGAGCCAACAACAAGCTTAAGATAGATATAAAAGTAAGGCGATAAGCCCGGAACGTCAGTGGGTCTGCCTGTCGTCATTGTCGAATCCCCGGAGATTGGAGATATATCCGGGGAAAAGGAGGAGGTCGGCCAAGGTGGAGGCGAAGAATGTTGACGACGCATGCGTTTTGCGTTGGCTGTCAAATTAATTTCGTTCGCTGCTCCGACTGCGATTACGGCGACCACGACGACACATTGCGACTGCGTGGGCGTTATGCGCCGAGCCTTATTGCCCTGCACCTCCACAACAACCTTTGGAGGGAATTTACATAAATATAATGCTGGACATAAAAATAGTTAGTTTAAAATTTTTTAGATTTTTGGAATAAGTTTTAAGCTTATCATATATTATAATCATATAATCAGTTTAATTATATAATAATTTAGTATTAAGATAACATTTCATGAATTTTACTGTTTATACCTAACTTATAGATATTTATTATGTTACATTTTAATTTTAAGCCCCTATTATTGTGCCCTCGACTGTTTGGCTATTCCTACAAACATATC